ATTTACTAATAACATTTTCGTCAGACCGTTGAAGGCATAACTGTGTTTCTTCTGCAAGCGTATCTTCAAACCTTCGAAAATAACTAAACTAAACAAAACGAACGAACATATTGAACGTTATGATAGGCATGGATGGAAGCGGTCGTCTCATATACTTGTTATCGTACTAAACAGACATTTTCAGATCCATAGGAATAGACTTAGGATTTTACAGTAGGAGGGGGAAAATGGGCAGAATGACACGAACCCATACCCACACTCACCGAAATAAGCAAACAAACAGATGGAATTGAGAATGGCAAAAAGATAGATGGCAGGTTAAATTTTTTTAAACCGATACCCTTAAATGGACAAAGATTCAAACAGGGAGAAAGAGGCTTTCGTGGTCTAAAGGTAGAGCGTTCGCCTCTCAGTCAAAAGGTCCCGAATCGGAACCTGGTAGAGACGAAAACATTTGTGAGGCTGCGTGGTGAAATCAGGCGCTCGTCAAAATAATCAAAGTGAAGAAATTGGCATTTTTCTGCAGGTTTGTGAATCTTTATATTGATTTTTTTTGTTTTTTGGCTCAACACCTTTCATGCCGATTAAAGAACACATTTCTGTGTGGATTGACTGAAAATCTTTGATTAAAGACACAAAAAAGATGTAATTTTTCAGTTTTCCCGGACTCTCAAGCTAAGGAAATAACTTATCTTTGGCGGCCATTTTCTCATTAATCTAACTCTGAAACCAGGTGGCCCCCACCTCCTTCATTCGCAAATATCTCGACTTGTATTCAAGATAAACAGATTTTTTTTCTTTCAAAGCAAGACAAATAAACAAGCTTCAATATGGTACCAATAACTCTACACGCACAAAAATTGACGAGAACCTGGTTTTTGTTCTCTAAAATTTTCTCCCTTGACCACCTTTCTTCATAATTTGTCACCTGCTTTTATCGTCACTTTCTCCCTTACCCCTGGCCTCCTCTGTGCTCCTCTCCCCGTTTCTTCTTACTCTTTCCACTGCTACTTCATAGCCTTCCATTAAATTACAATCTTTATCGGTGGAAATGATTAAATTCACCCTTATGTGAGAGGTGTGACTCATGAAATTGAAGATGAATTTCAATTTACTTTTTATAGTCAAAATTTTACCCATCAAAAAAGATTGTTAATTCCTCCCAGCCTGACTCTGGCCTGTGATAGATGCAACAGTTGACCCATGATAAGAGATATGTGCACAACCCGTACTTTTTCGTTATGGAAACATTATTTAACAAATTATTGCTTTTTATGATGTGAGGTGGGTCAATGGCCTTAAATATTGAATTAACTTACTTACTTACTAGTTGCTTACTACTTCTACTGCTACTCCTATTTCCCTGCTGCTGTCCTTCTGGGGAAATAGGACAGACTGCCACATACGTAAAATTCAGTTGCATTGCAGGTGGAAGAACCAGCAGCAGTCGTCGATCCCTGATATCCAGCAGGGGAAAGCAAATAAAAAGAAGAAACAGGAAGGAGAAAAAAAGGCAACCGAACTGCAAACATACAGACAATCAGACAGATAGTGAAACAAACAGACAAAGAGACGAAGAAGACCTTCCTGTCAGGATAAACCGGATCAAAGTTAACTCGGTCGTGCTTGGAATAAATTAAGAGCTAACTTACAGATTTTAGCCCTTAAGTCTGCTGTGTCAATACAATCATTCAGAGTTAGGAACCTTTCCCACACCCACTTAAACACGTTATAATATTTAACTGTCTGCACGTTCTGAAGGAAATCCGGAAAGGCATGAAGAAAATTAGCGCTATCATCATTCCAAATGTTTAACCAAATTCAATCTTTTATGTTTGCTTTCGTGGCAATGAAAACAGCGGAGGAAAGAAAATCTGCGTCAGCCATTTCCCTTTCAGATCTGTAGCATTAATCCAGTTCTTCTTACATGGCAAGGATCTAAGGCACACTTCGACTCATTTTACAGACCCCCCCCCCCAAACCTCGTTCCTGTTGCCCTGTTAGTAATGTTAGGTGTAGCTATTTGTCCTTTCATTTTGTTTTAGCAATTTTTTTAAAATCAAAAAGAAGATAGTGGTTTATTGGTTTATTGTGTAATCCGTCTTTTCAATTTTGCAAAGCTTGAATAAAAAACTATTGTTCAAGAATCTCGCACTGAGATCATGATTGTGACCCGTATTCCTTCAGTACCTCGTCTCCCTTCTACCCCCCCCCT